GCAGGAGTGTGAGGCCAAGAGACCGATGAAAAATAAAGTGAACAAAGCAACAATGTGTTCTGGGCTAAGGCGTGGTTGGAGAAGGCTAGAAAACCCCACACAGCCGCTGTGGGTACCATATGGGCAAGTAGAACCTCCTGTCTTGGGAGGCGTTTATTACAATGCAGAATCAACTTCACCTCTTAGGAGGTATGGTTCTGATTTTGAGGTGGCCACATCAAGGGAAAAAGCCACTACGTTTTTATTTTTCATTTCTATCTGACATTTGCCTGTCTTACCTTTCCAAGATGTAAATTTGATGGGAAAGGAGTCATATATTTTTATAGCTTAGTGGTATTTAAAATGTCAAGAAGCAGAAAGCCAGGGTGCATTTAGCCTGAGAATTTGAAGCAAGTTGATGCTTTCCTTAGACAACCTCCCTCATTTACACATACGCAGTCCCCCCACACCCCACCCCAGGCCAGGGTTCTGGGAAAGAGAGGAGAGCAAACAGTTCCTCATGAAAGTGCCCGAGTAAAGAAGGCTAATTTAATTACCGTCTAGTCTGGGAGGAATGAAAAAAAGCATCTGTAATGCAGAAAGGTTATTTGTGATCTGCTTTGTGACAAGAAATGTCAGCTTGATTTGTATCTTTCTACGGCCCTCAACAAGAGAGGTTGGCTTCCCAGTCTGCAATAGACACGTTTCCAATCACCAGGCTTCCGTGGATTTATGTTCTTTTCCTGATTTAACAGCAACTCCCGGAAGGCAGTGCTTTCTGCGTCAGGAGATGGGAGGCTTGCTAGGTATGCCGCAAACATATATCATATTTATCACCAAATTAGAGATAATTGTGCGCCAGGAAGAAAAACGATCAAATTCACAAATTAAGCTATTAATTAATCCAGCTACAATTATTTTTAATATATGCGTTCTGCCTGGATTTTTATGAAAACAGGATGTGCCAGTAACATTTCATTGGTCCCCTCGAACAAAAGCAGAAGGAGAAAATGGATCTGAAATCGCTGGGTAAATCTTTAAGCACTATGCCCATGAGAGGTATTGTTATTGATTTTAGCATTTGTTAAGCTTTACTTAAAGGGGAAAAAGGATAACAAAAGAACTGTATATTAGCTCATTTTCTTCCCTGCACTCTACATACATTCGAATTACCTATTTTGTTTTCTAGGTATTTAGCAGTCAGGTGGATGAATGTTTTCACAGTTCACTTTTTTTTTTTAAACATTTATTTATTTGTGCATACAGAACTGGGGTACAGGCCAGAGGCTCAGGGGCGGTGAGAGGCTTCACCAGAGACAGAGTGGGGAGCAGAACAGGCAGATCCACAAAGTACACTGCTAAGGGGAGCAGCGGGCGGGTCAGGAGAGGTCTGCCGCGCCATGTGGTCACCTCCGGGGCAGGCAGGAATCGAACTCATGCGGAAGCGGCTTTAGATTCTCAGTGCTGCGCTTTACCCCGCTGCGCCACCAGGGAGGGCCTTCACAGTTCACTTTTTAAGCAGAAGCAGAAGCTCTGAATGGTAACATCACAGAGAGGGTCATATAAATGACCAAAACAAAGGAGAAAAAGGGCTCATGGTGAGTTCCAAGGAAATGCAATTTAAACCCACATTATCTCACAGCTACATGCCCAGTAGGTTGGCAAATAGAAATAAAAGCTGCCCACACTGGGAGCTGGCAACAATGTGGTACAACTGGACTCTGAAGCCCTGCAGATGGGGGTGTATATTGGTACATTTTTTAAAAAGATCTATTTATTTATGCACACAAGAACTGGGTGCAGGCCAGAGGTGTGGGTGGTAGAGGGTTCATTCAGCAGAGACAGAGTGGGAAGCAGAACAGGTAGATTGACTGAAATGCACTACTGAGGGGAGCAGCGGGTGAGACAAGAGAGGTCTGCTGCACGGTGTGGGTCAGCTCCCTGGCCGGGGATGGAACTCAGTAGCTGCCCATAGCTTCATAGTGCTGCGCTTTAACCAGTTGCACCACCAGGGGGGGCCCAAAATTGGTGCATGTTTAACGACTCTTGGCAGCTCTACTATGGTGCATTTATGCACACCTATGGCCCAACAGTCCCGGGCACATACCTTGCGTTTGCAGAATACTGACCAGCCCTCTCCCCTAAAGTTGTCCAAGTCCTGATCTCAGGAGCTTGTGGCTATATTGCCTACATGGCAAAAAAAAGTATGTTGCAGATGTGATTAGTGTTGAGTGTGACCAGATATAGGCAGTATCGCAATGGCTACCTGTGTGACCACATGTGGGCAATAGCACAATGACTGGGACCGGGCCTTGCACCCAGGTGTACAGCGCCACGTCAACTTTCTGAAACTGAGCCTGAAGCCTATATAAGAGACACTTTCCCCTATAGCATTCACAGTAGCTGCAGACCCCGCCCTAGGGAGCTCTGTCTCAGCTGCTGCCCAGGAGCAACAGACTCTTCTTGCTCAGCCTTTCTGCCTCCCGTCTTTCTTACTTGTGGCCGGTCACAGAAATCGGGACAAAACAATTAGGTTATAGACTTTGAAAGAGGGAGATCATCCTGCACTAACCTGCAAACCCAATCTAATCACACATCCTTAAACACTCAGAATCCTGCCCACTGCAGCCAGAGAGATGCAACAATAGAGAGTGATCAGGGACATGTGACCAGAGAAGGATTTGAAGCCCCATTGCCAACTTTGCAGATGGAGAAAGATGGTCAAGAGCCAAGGAATGCAGAGATCTGAAGAAGCTCTCTCTCCTGGGAACCAGTGAGAACAGGGGCCCTTTATCCCACAACAGAAGGACTCCAACTGAACTCAGTCATCGGTCAGGATGAGCTGTAACAACGAGGAAAGATCTTCCCGTAGAGTCTCCAGAAAAGAAGACAGTCCTGCTGAAGGCTTGGTTTTAGTCTTGGTGAGAACCAGACCAGCCTTCTGACCTACACTTGGCGGTAATCACTGTGTGCTGTTTTAAGTTGAGAACTTTTCTTGCAGCATCAAAAGAATGTTCAGGGCCCTCCCCTTGGTGACACGAGGGTTAAAGCACAGCACTGTGAAGCTCTCCACAGCCACTGCAGCACAAATTTGATCCCTGGCCAGGGAGGCGACCCCCATGGCACAGCAGACCTCTCCTGTCTCCCTACTGCTCCCCTCAGCGGTGGATTTCAGTTAATCCACCTGTTTTGCTCCCCACTCTGTCTCACCCCCTGCCCGACCTACACCCTAGCTCTTGTATGCATGAATAAATAAGTCATTTATTGACGATAACGCCTTTCCAAATAAGATCAGGTTTGAGGTACTGGGGATGGGGATGGTACAGATGTTTTTAGGGGGAGGGGTCATAACTCAACCTGTGTGATGGACTGAATGTATCCCTCTAAAAGTCAGATGCTGAATCCTAACCCCCCAGCTGATGCTTTTAAGAGGAGGAGCCTTCAAGAGGTGATGGGGTTGAGAATGGAGGCCTGTGAGCGAGGCGAGTGCCCTTGCAAGGAGAGACTAGGGTTTGCATCCTCTCCCAGCTTTCTGCTTTGAAGATGCAAGAAGATCGCTTTCAATATGCCAAGAAAGGCTTTTGATATGATCCTCACTAAGCAGGAAATCTGCTGACACCATGACCTTGAACTTATAACCTCCAGAACTGTGAGAAGTGATATTTGCTGTGTAAATGACCAGGTCTAGGGTCATTTGTTACAGAAGCCCCAACTGACTAATAAGAAAACCCATAACAAATGATCCATTCAGTTTGAATTTTTTTATCATGTTCATGTAGTTATTGAAAAGTAGCCAGCTAAGAATAGGAGACAGAGCAGGTGGGGAGCAAGAGGTATAAATTTCCAGTTATAAAATAAGTCAGGGGGTCCTCTCTGGTGGCGCAACAGGTTGGAACGCAGCACTGCAAGCTACCACAGCCACTTCAGTGTGAGTTTGATCCCCAGCCAGGGAGCTGACCCACATGGCACCTCAGACCTCTCCTGTCTCCCCACTGCTCCCCTCAACAGCGTACTTTGTCCCTCTGCCTATTCTGCTCCCCACTCTGTCTCTGGTGAATCCTCTCACCACACCTGCACCTCTGGCCTGTACCCCAGTTCTGTATGCAGAAATAAATAAATCTTTTTAAAAACAAATAAATAAAAACAAAATGTCAGGAATAGGTATACAATCCATTGGTAATAAGATTGTGTTATTGCACATTTGAAAAGCTGCTATGAAAAATAGGAAAGGGACTTCTTGTAGTGATCACTTCGCAATGTAGACAAATGTCACATCATGTTGCACACCTGAAATGATGATAATGTCGCATGCCAGTTATACTTCAGCCAACAAAGAGTGGCCCATGATTTGGTTCTTCACCGAAGCAACAGATGAACAATGCTGAAGGAGGCAGCATTCGGGGCAGCATGTTTGGTAAGTGCCTTCTAGGGGTGGGGCCTTGTTCCAGGTGATGGAGATTGAGGTAAGAAAGCAGGCAAAACTCTGCTCTCCCGCGTCGCTAGCGGACATAGTAAGTGAAAAACTAAAGTAGGTCATCGTTCAGGCAGTAGCCAGCACTGAGAAGAGAAGGAAAGCCTGGACGTAGCCAGGCAGTGTCAGGAGATGACATAGGCTGGCTAGAGTGGCTAGAAGGCCCTGACACTTTTGCATTAAAGTCTTTTGCATTAAAACCTGGAGGAAGTGCGCCCTGGGAGGTGGGGTCCCAGGAGAAGGAAGCTCAAGGCCTCGGGTGGAAGAAGCATGGTTGCTGGCGGAAGAGCAAGGGTCAGAAGGGCAACAGGAGGCACTGAGGCCCCTGGCAGTCACAGGCAGGAAGAGAGGCCTGACTAGAGACCGCAGCAAGAGGACTTGTGGGCCTGGTGGCGTGAGCCCCTGAGGCTTTAGACCTGAGCGACTGAAAAGATGGAGTGGCTGGTGAGACAGAACAAGGCAGGAGGAGCTTAAGCAAGGGAGGACCCGGACGGTTTCTGCACCGGCACTGTCTGAGGCCTCGAGTAAACACGCAAGTGGAGAGGCTGAGAGCACCAGCCGCAGCCTGCGGTCAGGAACGGTCCGGCCAGAGACACACTTTGGAGTCATTAGCAGGTGAAGGAATTTAAAGCCACAGGGCTGTTGGAGTCGCATAGGAAGTGAGGGCAGATTGAATTGAAAAGAAGAGCAGTGTGTTTCCCACGTCTGCAAAACTTCCCAGAAGCCCAGTTGTAGACTGACCAGGGGAGCAGAGCCCTGCAGTCCGTGGACACAGAGGCACGGCGGGCCAGCGGCCAGTGGCCAGCCGGAAAATGGAAGGAGCCCTGGAAACGCCTGTGTGCACCTGGCAGGTGAGGAGGTAGGAAAAGCCGGCCTGGACGTGGGCCAGGGAGGAGAGGCAAGGCGGGCCAGAGGTGTTTGAGGGCCTGGGAGGAGAAAACTCAAGGAGGGAAGGGGATAAAGTGGCAGAGGGGTTGGGGGGTGCAAGCTGACAGGGAACCAGTGGATTTGGTAATTAGGAGGTTTTTGTTGACTGTAGAAGTCAGATTGCAGTGGGTGGAGGAATGAATGGGATGACAGTAAGTAGGGTAATATTATCTGCAAGGAAAATACACTCCATCTTCTGGCTTAATTACACGTCTCGGGTTGATAAATCGCGGAACTCTTGTTCCCCTCCTGTTTGGGGCTGTCTGGGCGCTGCAGAAGCCCTTCCTTTCGGAGGATGCTGTCACCAGCTCAGGACACATGCTGGTCTCTGCTCCTGAGAAGCCTTTGTCTTCACCATGCAGGCCGCGCCTTAGAGCCCAGCTGCCCCTCCAGGAACCCTGCCCTTGGCTGCTCTTCCCAGCCAAAAGCCATCTAAGCCCCCCTGAATCTGTACACTAAGCATATCTGCAAGTCTACCTTGCTTTAAACTTGCATGCCGTTTTCCTTCACTATTGATGCTTCCTGTCTTGTCTTATCTACTAGACCTCAGAGTTCACAGTCCATGCACCTGGCTATTCCTAAGAATATTGCTTTTCTTCACACTTAACATTAAATATTAATTTTCTTTAAGTTATTTATTTATGCATACGAGAACCGCGGTACAGGCCAGAGGTGTAAGGGATAAAAGGGTTCACCAGAGACAGAATGGGGAGCAGGACAGGCAGATTGACTGAAATCCACTGCTGAGGGGAGCATGAGATAAGAGATCTGCTGCACCATGTGGGTCACTTCCCTGGCTGGGGATCAAACTTGTGCTGCAATGGCTGCAGACAGTTGCATAATGCTGTGCTTTAACCCCTTGTGCCACCAGAGAGGGCCCTAGATATTAATACTTATACATGCTGGCTGCTCAATAAATAGTAAATCATAAGAGGAACTAGCTAGATCCAACAGGCTAGTGTACCATCTTTAGTTTAAATACTCTTTGCAAATGAAAACATGAATTTTGAAGTCAGCTGAAGCAGAGTTAAATGTCAAACATTCAATCCAGTCCAAAGCATCCCTAATCCAGGAAGGGAAATAAATGTCACCAAGGGTGGAATTGCTATAGTAAATCACACAATAAACTGAATTGGGTCACCCTCAAAATTCATGTGTTAAAAGAAAAATCATCTGTTGATGCCTTAACCCCAGAACTTCAAAATGTAACTGACTTAGAGACAGGATCTTTGAGGCCCTGAGTGTGGGCGCTAATTCAATCTGACTGGTGTTCTCATAAGAAAAGAGGTCAGACACTCAAAGAGTGTGAGACACACAAGAGGTGAGAAGGCATCGGGGTGAGAACCAGGAGCAGCCCACGGGGAGGCGGCTTTGCACAGGCCAGGCCCAGGGCAGCCTGCGGCAGCCCGCAGAGGCCTCCAAAAAGCCTGCCGACGCCTTGACCTTGGACACAGTCCTGGTCTCCAGAACTGTGAGGAAATAAGTATTTTGTCTTTGGTATTTTGTTATGGCAGCCCAAGGAGGCTAGTTGCCAAGCAGGTAGTAAGGAGCCATATTGTATGGTAAGGAAGGAGTGACTTGACAGTGGACCGAGCAAGACTTTGTTCTTTTCTATGTGATTGTGTGCAAGTGACATGGCTTCTCTAAACAAGTCTCCACACATAATTCCTCTGTGGGTTTTTAAATAAGGAATATGTATACTATATACTATTATAAATGTATAATACACGTGTTTCTATACAAATAGAAATATTTAAAATAGAAGGAGCACTCAATAAAGGATAACTATTTCATAGTATGGGTGGAATATTATACAAGCATCAAAAGGATTGCTCTGAAGGCTAGGTAGCCACATGTCTGTCTTGTTATACCTCATCTTAAATATATTGTTACTGGCTAATTATTGTCAAATTATAATTTTTATATTCAATATATCAAATATGACACATTTTAAATATTCTAATAACAATATATTATGGACTAAGAAAAAACAAAAATTATATAACCCTACTAGTTACAATGACCTAAAAATTATGCATGCATGTTAGCAAGGTTGTAAGGTGATATGTAAGTGAGAATATCATCTTTTAATGCTGAATCTGTTAGGATTCTGTTGGGGTAGGGCAGGGGGAAGAACTGAACTTGAACTAACTTAGACCAAAACTGGAATGTATTTAATCCCAACTTAATTGTGTTGAGCAATGAAACTACAGAACAGCAATAATCCAGCTGGCCTATTGGAACAATGGGACTGGGAGTTTCAACATCTTAAGAGTCTCTTTCCATGTTGAGATTCTGCTGTTGGCTTCCTTCCTATTCAATGGAAAAAACCATATCCCCCAAACCACACTTTCCAAGTTCTGTCTCCAACGAGGGACTCCCTGTTCTTACTCTCAGTCAAGTCTTCAGTTCACCTCTCAGGCACTGGTTACAGTATTGATGATCACTCTTCAATCAGCTCAAATATTGTTGAGAAGGTAATCAATCAATCGTCAATCAATCATGGAAGGAAGCCAGATGACAGAAGGGGACTGTCACTCAGAAATTGTAGGCTTGAGTGTTGAAGTGGTTTCCAGAAGGAGAGCTGGTACTTGGTAAATCAAAAAACATATCCAGTCTGGTTGCTCCTTGGTGGTGCAGCGGGTTAAAGCACAGCACTGCAAGCTAGCCGCAGCTGCTTCAGTGCAAGCTTAACCCCCTACCCCAGAAGGTGCCCCACATGGCGCGGCAGACCTCTCCTGTCCCGCCTGCTGCTCCCCTCAGCAGTGGACTTGGTTGATCTGCGGGTTCTGCACCCCACTCTGACTCTGGTGAATCCTCTCACTGTCCCTGCACCTCTGGCCTGTACCCCAGCTCTGTGTGCACAAATAAATAAATAAATCTTTAAAAAAATAAACATATCTACTATGTGTGCAGTTAATGTTTTTATTTGCCAAAAAGTTAGAATTGAGTAACTTCAAAGGAAAGGAAAATTGGGGGCACACGCGAACCATCTTTCTGTTTTTGTTTCACTTCTACGCTATCTTAACTTAGTACGCGCTGCACCTGCACTCTATTTCATCACGCAGCAGAAGTCCTTGCAGAAACAGTGGGTGACGATGTCCAGGAAGAATCACCTTTGGCTTGTTCCTGGTTCAGTATCAAGATGTATTCCTTTCCTATGGGGTTAGGACAGATTCATATTTGATGCATCTAATTTTCTTTCTTTTAAAAAAAATTTAGTTTTGGGCCCTCCCTGGCGGCACAATGGGTTAAAGCACAGCACTAAGAAGCTTAAGCCACTTCCGCATGAGTTCGATCCCCGCCTGCTCCGGAGGCGACCACATGGCGCGGCAGACCTCTCCTGGCCCGCCCGCTGCTACCCTCAGCAGTGTGCTTCCTCCATCTGCCTGTTCCTGCTCCCCACTCTGTCTCTGGTGAATCCTTTCACCCTCCGCATCTCTGGCCTGTACCTCAGTTCTGTATGAATAAATAAATACATTTTAAAAAAAAATTTAGTTTTATTTATTCATGCATACAAGACCTGGAGTACAGGCCAGAGGTGCAGGGGATGAAAGGACTCACCAGAGACAGAGCGGGCAGCAGAACAGGCAGATTGACTGAAATGCACTGCTGAGGGAGGGGAGCAGCAGGCAGACAACAGAGGTCTGCTGCACCTTGTGGGCCACTCCCTGGCCGGGATGGAACTCGTGCTGCAGGGGCTTCACCATGCTGAGACTCAGCCCCTTGCGCTACCAGGGAGGTCTTGAAGCAGCCAATTTTCTTTAAGATTTTCAGCACTGGGGTGGGATTTCATTGACAGTTGTACCCACGCTTTAGTGTCTTCAAAGCACTAACCAGAAAAAAGCAGACATACAGACACAGCTAGACATCCTCTTTTCCCACACCATATGTAGGAAAAATTTTAAATAAATTTGCATACAAATGCAAAGACTATTTTTAAGTCTCTTAGAAAGCACGTCCAATTCTTTACCCTTGAATATCTCCTTGTAGCAAAAGAGAGGTAATTTGACCTATGAGGTGAGATTAAAAAGATAAGAAAGAGAGGAGAAAAAAATTATTCATTTCCAGGCATGTTTAATTTCATAGCTTCCTAGGTTCCTAATGGAGTGTTGATTGCCAGTTCTTCCAGGCACAACCGCACAGTGGAGATTTTAAGATTTTAAGAGATGAAGATCGAGGGCCTAATAAATTTTTCAGGCCAAGTCTCCAGGTTCT